CCTGCAAGCACAGATAAAGCGAGAAAAAGAGAGAAAGAGAGAGAGAGAGAGTGACGGAGTAAGAGAAAGTAGCGCCAGCAAAAAGGACGACGCTTTGGTTCGGTCCCTCGCTTCGTTTGCTTTCACCCGAGGGAAAGCAGGGCCAAGGGAAGACAGAGGAATATGGCTGGGGGAACGCAGGACACAGGACGGAGGAGCAGAGCAAGGACGAGCTGGGACGAACAATTTCCCGCACTCAAAAAATAACAATGGCGCGTTGAAAATATCCGCTTCCGTTCAGAAAGCTACCAAAAGGAAAATACCCGGACAGAATGAGACAGAGCCCGAAAACAGAGATGGAGCGATGCAGATAGAGTCATGGCAGCTGGGGTCCTGCGGGGCTCCTGCGGGCGGGGTGGGCTTTGGGGGGCGGGGACGTCACACTCCAAGAATTTAATTCAATTTGAGCACAATGAAATCATATTTTGCAACAAAATGTGGCGAAAGTGGAATGGGTGCTGTCAAAATCACAGAGCGCAACGCTTTTCATTTCAGCTCTCGGATTTCGGTTTCCCATTTTCAATAAGTACGAATGACCGGCTCAAGGATGAGTTTTTGGTCGAATATGTTGGCATTAATATTTATTTATCCGCCAGTTGAAGTTGCTCCTTTTGTTGTTGCTTTTTTTGTTTTGTGCTCTGTTCAGTCCCTCGTTTATTATTCATGCAGTGTCCTTGGGGACCAGGACATGCCGGGGGCGGCTTGTTTAAATAGCGCATAAAATAATAATGGCTTCATTAGCATTCCCATTCGAATTCTATTTATTTGCACACTTTTCAACGCACATAATTACATAATTTGCCCTGCTCAGTGCGAGGGGGGAGTACGGCTCAATCGATGTGCAACATTTTCGGCCCCAAAAACGAATACAAACAAAGGCCTCTTGAGAGGATTATTTTCCGTTTGACAGCCAGCACATAAATGTATGTATGTGAAGGTACGGTTGATGTCAAAATAATAGCACTGAGAATACAAAATGCGTTTTGGATATCAATTTAAATGAAAATTATAGGAAAATTCCTGGAAAAAGAATACGAAAATATCATTAATTGCTGTGCCATTTTTATGAGTAAATATATTGTTGTAGTTGTTATTTAATTTTCCAAAAAGGAATACAAAAAAATCCTTTAACTTCGGAAAAAACTTGGATTATGGAAAATTGCAACTGATAAAATATTTTCTTTGCATTCCCAAATAAATTTTTGTAAATAAAAAATTTCTATTCCTATAAAAATATTTTTTAATATAAAAATATGCCTGTATTGTGTAGAAAGGCCTAATTGTGACCGCAACTGTGCAGGCAGAATTTGTGGGTGAGGGCCCTTTGAGGTCCTTTTAATCCTTTGGCCCAGCACTGAGCCGTAAACTGAGGGCATCCAGTGGCAGCGGACCGTTCCGGAGTGAAATATTGCCAGCATTGACAAATGTTGTTTGCCTGAGCACCCTTGGGCCCAGGACACGCGTGTCCTTTCCCACTCTCACACAAGTAAGTATGTGTATCTGTGTATGTGTGTGTGTGTGTGTGTCAGCAATAAAATGAAAAATATTTGAACTTTAGCAAAAAGCGCACAAGGATATCAATTCCCCAAATGCCTTCCATGTGTGTATGTATGCGTGCATAGTCAAATCCAACTAGAAATCACAATCACAGCAATAAAATTGAGAGAGCGTGCACGAATGCCAATGGAGAAACAACAAGCAAACACTCCTGCGAAAAGGATCAAGGGGCGTCATTTGGAGGGGTTTTTTTTTTATTGGGAAATGTGCTTCAGTATATTTGGTTGCAAAGCACAAACAAGTTTTCCTCTACAAAAGAAAAGTCAGCCGGGAAGCGCTGAAGAGGTGCTACGAAACACGGAAAAAAGGATGAAAATATTATAAAACAGGGCTGGATTCGCTATTTTATATGTTTCGGCTGTCACCTAGTTCTGAAACCGTGTATCGGGCTTAAAAATACTTAAGTAAACAATTGAATTTGAAAATTTATCTTTAGGATTTCCAACAATGTATCTTTTATCTTTAACATATTCTACATACATTTGACATACCACATTTTACATTTGAAGCCCATAAGTAGGCAAGACTTATTTTTTACATTTTAAATAAAGATACTTTTATATTTTAAATACAAAAAAAATTTAAAACAATACGCTTCCCAGATTATTTTTCACTTTTAACTTCTTTGTTAGCTTCTCCTGAAAAACGTTGAACTTTGGCTAAGTGGATTTATGTTTGACTTTTGCTTCAACGAGAGCAAAAGGCAAGTTTCAAAATTCTGATGACGAATTGAAAATGCCCATGTTTCCGGAGTCTATTCTTCTGTATGAATATATGCTTGTGTGCTTGTGGGTGCAGTCTCTGAATGTGTGTGTATGTATATCCTGGCCAAACATCATCGAAATAATAAGCTGGAGCCGCAGGAAGGCGAAAATTACAGCTGTCAAAGTTACACAAAGGTCAAATGGAACATTATGGCTTTATTTTGCGCCTAATAAATCTCATTATGTCATTATATGCTACTCCCCCCAACAGACACCAACACCAACGCCAACAACAACCACAAAAAACACAAGCGGCCTACAGGATAAGGGGGTGGTAAGGTGTGCGAGTGTTTGTTTGCTTGCGTGTGCGTGCCTCGGGAAGGTAAAAGACAAGGCGCAGAAGAGCCCGCGAAGCGAGGCAACTTCACATACAGCAAAAGGAACTGGCTGTAGTCGAAAGACATGCCAATCAGTAATCAATCCAGGACCCACCAAAAACAATTTGCAAAGGCACACTGCTAAAACAAAAACAACAAACAGCAGCAACAACAACAAGAGTGGCAAGTGAGAGGCACTGTAAACAAATTGGAAAGAGATGAACATAATAACTGCGCAATATGGCGTCAGCAGCGGCAGAGAGAGAGAGAGAGAGCGTGAGCGCAGAGCGCAGGGCTGAGAGCGAAAAGCCGCCATTAAAGAAATGCCGCTCGGAGAGGACAACTCGGCGCCGTGTATGTGCATGGGAATGCCAGTGTGTGAGAGGCCCTGTGTGAGTGTATGTGTATGAAATGCCGCAGAGTTGTCAGGGTGCCAGTTTCTTAATATGCCACGGCTCTTAAATATTCATTATTTTTTACTTAAATTTATCGCAAACATAAAATAAGATCCTTAAAAATAACTGCTTCATTTCGAAACAAAAACTATTTTTTTAACGCACATTTACTACAAATCTGAATTAATAGTTATCAGTTCGGCGGCATGTGGCAACCCTGCGCGTTGCTAGCCAACTCTCGCCTCTCAATTTATGCACGTTTGTACGCGTTTTTCCTTCGCTTCGTTCGGACAGCACGGATAAAACGCTGTCGCCGAAAAACACAAAAATAACAAAACAAAAAAGAGAAAAAAACAAATAAGGATTTCAAATAAGAGGAAATAAGTATGCAAAAGCGTTCCTTAATCTGTGTATTTATAATTGTGCGTTTAAATTAATTCATACAACGAAAACATCGTTCGCTCTCGGATCAAGTATGCGTTTTGCAGCACGCTCGTGTGTGTTAGTGTCCGTCGCGTTTTAAGCAATTAACCCAAGCAGCGTAGAAATGCCAAAAACGCATTAAAAATTATTACTCGTCGCTGTCTGTCATTCACAACAAAAAAGTAACAACAGCGACGGCTATGGCAGAAGCAGCGACAATCATACACAAGTGCTATTTGCCGCTACTCATAAAACAAATTACCCACTTGGGCCTGACTTGTGCGTGCGTTTGTATGTGTGGCTGTGTGTGAGAAAAGAGCAGCGTAATCATCATCAGCCGAAAAAAAAATACTACTAAAAAGTAGTAGTAAAAAAAGAAAGGAAAAGGAGAGAAGATGTAAAAGAAAAACCCAAAACGAGAGTGTGGCACTGGCAATATGTTGCTAGCAATAACAACAACAGCAACAGAAGCTTCATCAGTTGAATAGTACCGGAATAAAATTACTATACAGCCACTGTGTATGTGTGTGTGTGCCTGTGAGTTTGCATGTGTGTGTGTGTGCAGCTCTCCATCTCTCTCTCTCGCTCTCTCTATCTCACGCTGTGTTAGTGTGTATGTATGTGCAAAGCTTTTTTTATGTTTCGCACAAACATTGCGGTAAAAGAACGCCGACAAACGACGAACTCGTCGTCGCTTCGTCGCTCTCGCCAATTTCCGCGCGTGTGCAAGGTGAAGTCGCGCCGCGTCAGTCCGTCGGTCGTTTAGTCTCTCTCTCTGTCGCTTTGCCGTGCAACAACTCCCCCGTGTATTTTTTATGCCCCAAGCTCTGTTCTCTCTATACATATGTATGTATGTATATGTGCGTGGTGGAGCAGCTTCTGTTCTGCCGAATACATACATACATACATATGTACATACATGCCTGCAAGAGAAGGCAGCAGAGCTTGGTCGCGCGCTCTCTCTTTCGCCCTCTCGCCTTACTCAAAGTGCCGTTTTTTCGTGTATTTGTAGAGAAATAATATAAAAAGAAAATAATAAAAAACAACAACAACTAACCTCATAAAAAAGTTCATACATTTGTCGCAAAAAAGGAAAATAGAAAAGAAAAGCAAAGGCAAAAAGTGTCAAAGAAGTGAAAAACAAGAAGCAGAATAAGCAGAAGCAGAGAATCTAGCAGAAGCAGTGGGAAAAGGAAAAGCCAAGTTTGACTATCTCTTTCTCTCTCTGTCGCTCTCGCATAAATGGAGAATAATTCCTGAGATTGCGCCGCTAGGAAAATTTTGCGGATTTACATTTTACCTACCGGGTTTGTGAGCTTGTTGGGAGTTTGGGAGTTTACCGAGGAGAAGGAGTCGTCAGCGTTTCTTTTGTGGATTATTACGCCCTCTCGCCCGCTCTCTCTCTGTAACTCGCTCTCCACCCCTCCCTCTCGCACTTGTACATTGGCCGGGGAGTGCGAGCAGGCCGGCAAGCCAAAGGAATCATCACCTGCCCATCGCCACCCACAACCCACCATTACCCCCACCCAAATTTCATCTTGGATGCTGTCTATGAACCGGGAACGCGCATATCCAGAGCAGAAATTGCGACTATTTTGGATTTATAAAAAGGTGAGGCCTATAGTTCAAGAATTAATTAAAAATAAGGTCCTTTTTATTACAAAATTATATTTGTGAATGTCAAATCAATCAATGATATTCATAACTTTCAGATAAATACACCAATACCAAATACCAATTGATTCATAAAAATATTATTTTTAATGAATATCCGATCTAAAACTAATAACACTCCAATGTTTTTGTTTTAACCTTTAGTAAAAAAGACACAGATTTGTAACTTTAAATCTGATAAGCTATTGTTATCTTGATCTAATACCATTATCAATACTGATTCCATTTTAAATAGGAAAATACCTATCAATACCTTTTTTAAATTAAATAAATATAAATAATAAATTGAATATAATAAGCTCATGGAGATTGTATTGTATGAAAATCTGGACTTGAAGCTGGCGTATTATAATACTGCTTTTCTCTCGCTCGCATAGCTGAGAGATAGAGAGAGACGGCGAGAGAGTAAATTGATTTCCAGTTTGATTAATTGCCGCTTGCCACTTACTGCTGCCGCATTTTATACAAGTATTCATACAAATATACACACAGACACATTTTTTGTCGAGTTAATGCCAATTAAGGCGTTTCAATCTAAGCCGATTTGTAATTAAATGGAGTTTTTTTGTTGTTGTTGTTGTTATTTCGAGCGATTAGAAAATTGACAGACCTGGTGTATTTTTTTTATATATATATATTTTTTTTTTTGCGTTACCTTTTTGAGATTTATTGAAGTGGATTTAATTTGGGTTTTTGTTCGGCACCAATGGAATGGAATTTCGTTTTGCAAGCGTAATGTGGGAAGACAAGCGGAATTCGCGGGTCATCGAAGGGGCTGTGAGGGAGGGGGTCTTGGGAATCGGAATGGAAATGCGAATCGGAATCACGCTCGCCTAATGAAGCCTGCGGCGACGCGTCAAGCGAACCGAATAGCAAGCGTCGAGCAGAAAACAGTGAACGACCAGCCCGAACGATGAGCGATAAACAGAGATGGAGGGATGGGAGCAGGGAGGGGTGGTTGGTTTTGCATCTACTCGAATTATGAACATGAATGTGGTCTGTGTTTGCATTTTTTGGCAGGTAAAGATAAGGAAAAGGCAAATATAGTAAGTAAATCATCATCATTAGGTGTATTAAAACAGATGACATAATATGAATTTAATAGAATTTGAACAATTTTCATAATTGTAAGTAAATTATTACTAGAAAGGCTGATTTAATCCACATAAATACACAGTACGATATACAATTGTTTCTGTCAAGCCCGCGGGCATCATAAGTACCATTCACCTTTAAACGGCTTGAAAAAATCATATAAATAACTATCTCCTTTTCCCCAACTCACCTACTGGCTATAAATGAAATGATATATAAATTCCATTTGTTTAAATACCAAATAAATTGGATTTCTTTGCATTGTTTAGCTTATCTTGTCAGATTTGAATTCTTCACTAATTCCGGAAGCAAAACCTCTGCCGCTTTATCGCAAGTTTATTCAAATTCAAGTTTATATCCCGTGTAGAGTGTTTTCGTTTTCGTTCGGCCAAGTCATTTTTTTTTTGCTTTAATTAAGTAAACATTGCAGCCGCATTTCGAGCTGCTTTAATTCCATGGTAAACATGCCAAAATTGTTTATTTAAACAACTGTTTAGTCATAAATGCATAGATACATTTGCAGATATAGATACATAGATACGGCCGGCATACAGATACGGATACGCACACGCAGATACAATTAAGCGTCTTTTAGGCAGAGCTCTCTTGGTCGGGCCATAACATTAAAATATTTTACACAAATGGCCAAGCGACAAAGTAAACCGCAGCCGGAGGCGCTGCAAGGGGGAGAGCAAGTGGGGCGAGCAGGAGAAGGCTTCCAGTGGCGCACACAATCGTGACGCCAACTTAGTTACGGTCATTAGCACCAGCAGCGAGTTGTTCCGAGCCAAACTGAACCGAAGTGAGCTGAGCTTGTGTGTAGAACTGCATGCATTGTGCCCCTGTCCCCACTGGTACACACATATAAAAGCAAACCCGGGAACATGCCAGCATACATACATAATAATTTGTCACACTGTTCGCGCTGGTAAAAGTTGGCAGCGAGCGGTGAGATAGATAGGCAAGCCCCATCGCATACAGTTGGGATTAAACTAAAGAATTTCAGTGTCGAAAATATGGAAATATGGAACAAAAAATTCATTTCAACAATAGTCCATTACCTTAAAATCTTAGTGTTCAAAATATAAAAAATCCATCAACAACAGGTTTAAAAATGCTTTAAAACCACCATTTATTTATATTCATGGCTTCACTGTAACCGCAACCGCCACAGATGGTGACCAGCAATTGCAGCTAACAGCCATGTTAACCAACTTTGGCTGGTGGTTCTCTGCCTTTTCGGCCCCCAGCGTAATTGCCCACTACTCGGGCTCTGTCTTTCTTTTTCTGTTTACTGTATCTCCGGCACGGCAAATGTGTCAATTGGCTGACAAAATATTATTCGAATATAATTACAGTGTTTATAATTTGTAGCATGTGCCGCCGCTGTAGCGATTTCGTTCTGGGTTTAGCCAGCAGCACAAGCCGTGTGCAGACATTTATTAGTCCATTTGTCAGGGGGCAAACAAATGCCAAAACCCCCGACTCGACTACTGTTGCCCCACCCCAGCGGTTCAGTGGCTCTGTGGATCGGGTACGGGTATGGCACGATTAGACTTAATTGATTTGTTCAATTTTCATAAAACGCCCGACAGTGACAAACGTTCGTTTGTTAGCCGGTTGGGCTCGTTCGTTCGAGACCGCCCCCGCTAGTCTGCTGTTCTGCCTTTGGCCTGTCTAACTGCCTATCTGTCCGCCCATGCGAATTAGCAGCGAACTCGAAGTTTGCAATTTCAATTCCATTTCCATTCCGGCCAAGTGAAAATGGATTATATTTCATTTTCTATTGATTGACAAGCAACTGTCATGGCAATACCCTGGGCAAACTAAATTCAAGGCATTTAAATATATAACCTATGTTTGCTTATTATAATGAAAAGCTTATGCAACTTTAATGAATATATACACATAAATATAGATAAAAACTAACATAAGAATAGAACAAAACACTACAAGCTGTACCTGTCATACTGGGTAGATTATGACTGAGCACACCCCATATATTTTGTATACCTGAAAACCCTTCTTATGGCCTCACCAGAGATATAATAAATATATTTATTTATTTCCTTGCATCGAAACAAATAGCAAAAAAGTGTTTGCACAACTAAAACATTAAAAACAATCATAAATTAGAAAAAAACAATTATTTTTATATTTAAGGAGTCATATTTAATTTCACAGGGTGCCCCAAACAGAAATTCCCAAAAAACCTAAATAATTTAAAACCATTAAATTACAAAACGGAAAAAAATCAACGATTTGAATAAATAATAACTTTGTGTATGTGTGTTCATTAAAATTAATTTGCTGTCATCAACGACAATGGCGAAAAGTGTTGGCACCACTAAATCAAATGAAACGAACCATAAATAAGCAAATCAAACCATTAATAAATTGCATTGAAATTACTAAGCCAAATATATAAAAATTTCAAATAAACTAAAAACTGTTTCTGCAACTCAAAAACAAGGGCAAACGACGACGGGGTCGCTGGGGAGGAGGAGGTAATAACAAATAGCCGGCAATCAACAAGAGCGTCATTAAAAAAGCAAATTTCTGAACACGCTAAACACATGTAGGAAGGCAAAAAAAACAAAAATACAGGGAGAAAAAAAAGAATAAGGAAAAAAAAACTACAACAGGGGCACGAAAGCGTTCAACGTTCACTAGATAATGTGGGCCAACTACAAAAACAATGGCTATACAGTGTATACTATTTATAGTGGAATAATAATAAATAACTTTGATCAAGTGGAGAAATGCATAAGAAAGGTTTTCCTTATAATTCTGAAGAAATGTTTCATAGTGGTACAACATGTAAAAAGAAAGTTAGCCAAAATATTCAGCATTATTTCTAACAGAGTGATCACTGTGAAGCGGAGGCAAAACTGAGAGATACAAATATACAAAAACTTAATTCCCATCACGAGAAACGAAGCAAATTGATTGTGATGATGTTTTCAAATTGACTTTGAGCCTGTATGTATCTGTGAGATACAGTATCTATGAGCCGAGGTGCCGCCTGACAGCGGGTGTCGGATCGCGCAGTCAGCCATGTAAATGAATGCTTTTGATAATTAATTTATGCTGCCAGCCACAGGGCGGCTCAAACATGCCGATAAATTATATTATATACACACAGGCACTCACACACTCGAAATCACCATACTATATCAATTTGCATATTTTGTTGCGGATGAGTGGACCCAAAAAAAAAAGGAAGACAAAATCAGAAACAAAATAAAAGCTCAATAAAAAACCACATTTAATGTCGTTTAAACAAGTTTAATTTTATGCACATATATGTATTTATTTTTCTCTGTGCAAATAACTCAATTTAAATTGCTGCGGAACAGGAGGAAATTATTAGTGGCGGTGGAGGACGGGGGCTCTGACAATTCATTATTGTGTGTACAAATTCAATAAATAAGAACAATTAATTATAACGTGTAAATATAGCAATATCACATTGCGATAATCGCAATTAATATTTATTTTTTATGGCACAGAATAAATAAAGTGAAAATGCAAACAATTTCTGATAAGCAGCCGCCACAGGCAGCGAAAGCGAAACAAAAAAACAACAACAAAATAAACGAGTAAACTGAGTAAACGAAAAATAATATGAAATTCCAAGCAATTTCCACTGCAGCTACAGATATGCATACAAATATTTTATAATTATGAAATTATCGTCTTTTTTCCGCTGACATTACAGCATGCAATTATTCATTACTTTTCACTTTTATAGTATGTGACTTTCGAATAGAACACATTGTCATAGTATCAACTAAATTAATAGAAATAAAAACCCCTTTGCTATCGTTTTTATTCTAGCT